GTGGAAAATAATTTTTGTCACTTCTTATTTTGGACAGGGTATACAGGCACTTATATATTTGATTTTATAAAGTGATATTTATTGTTAAGGTTTCTACCAGAATCTCCAAAATGGTTGATGTCTCAAGGTAGAAAAARCCAAGCTTGGCAAGTAATGACTAAGCTTGTTCCTTCAGCTGTTCATGCTAATATAGATAATGATATCCAGGATACRGTTGAAATTAGAAAGGTTTGTCAATTACAATATTTTGTTATTATTTATTAATGATCAATTACATTCATTGTTACATAATACCTTATATTACATGTTATATTATTATGTAAAATATTTAGTTTATCTTTTAACATATTSAATATATCTTAAATTTAAGTAAGATGTTAAATGATCACTTTTATTATAATAAGTATTTTGTTTTTTAAAGTAGTCAAAAAAAAGTCAAGGAAAATGTAAAGAGTTTTTGTCTACTTTTATTGCATTGTTTTCYACTTGGGATTTATCTGTCAAGACTAGTATTTCTTTTTCTTGTGGATTCGTCTGTGGTCTATCATATTATGTTATTGGTAAGTTTGAAATTTTATTGTATTTAAAAATACTTAAAATTGTTACTATGTACTCAGTCCAGTMGCCCATAATAATATATAATTTTTTTGWGGGGAGGRTTACATTTTAAATTATCCTATTTTCACWCTATAAAATAATATATATAAAATAATTTTTTTTTAAATTCTGATGGGTGTACCTACCTGACAGTCTAACTATAGGCTAATYGTATAATATAAAATTAATAATAAACAATTTGATATTTGATATGTTGGCTAGTGTACTAAAATGTACTTCATAAAAATATATAGAATGATGTTTCATACATTTTCTCATTTGTGTCTAGTCATGATTTAATTTTGTTGGATACCTTGTATTATAGTTATTACATTGATAATTAATAATAACATTGCTTTTTGTTTGTTCACTAATCATTAGTTTAGACAGTTTGGGGTATTATAAATTATAATATTTAAATATAGCTAATATTAATTGATACTTGTGTAGTCTTTGTTTTAGGAATGCTGTTTCATTCTTTTGTATTCATGTCGAGTATTTAATAGTTTTGTCTTTAGCATAGTATATTACACATAAATATTAAAATAATTAATAAAAGTATATTATGATACAATTGGTTTTTTAAGTGACATATAACTGTCRAGTATTTAAAGAAAACTTTTTATTTATTTRTTTGTATTTCTTTCAGCTGATGAAATGTTATTTACATTCAATACTGCATGTTTTATGAAACMGTTCCAATTTTACATGAAAAGTGTAGGATATGCATGCTCATTATGATTTGAATTTTCTATTAGTTTTGTTTTCATATTATAATTGTAGGTATTACTAAGAATGATCAAGAACAACTAAACTTAAATGGATATTATTTAGATTAACAAATTGAGATTCTAAAATAATAAGTGAGCCAAGATAGAARTGGGTTCCATATGAATTCTCACAGAATCWAAAGCTTTTGGAAAATCGATAAATAATTATAATAATACTATATACAAACAATTCATGTTATTTAAGTTTAGAAACCTTATTGTGCCATATATGTATAAACTTAATTAACTTAAAAAAATTTCATCTTGAATGTAGTAAAATATATATACTTTTTTTTATTTTAATTTATAAGCATTAAATGGTGATAATATTACTGCTGATCGTTACATATATGTTGCGTTGAATGGAGTTGTTGAAGGCTTAGCATACTTATCAACTATTCCATTATTACTTTACGTTGGACGCAAAATAGCAGTTTCCGGTTTATTTTTTGTATCCGGAATATTGCAACTTGCTTTATTAACAATACCAAAAGGTACATAATATTATAAAGTAAATATTATAACATGAAAAATAAATGTAAATTTTTTTAATWCCTAATTTTAATTTGTTTTAGAAAGTCCAAATTTATTATTATTTGTTGCTTTGCTTGGAAAATTTTGTGTGAGTGCTGTATTTTCAGTTAGTTTGCTTTATATATCAGAGTTATATCCAACTACAATAAGAAATACCGGCCTTGGAACATCATTGACTATTTCTCAAATAGGATCTGTTATTGCACCATATGTAGTTGAATTATTGGTAATAACTAATAGCTWTAATACATGTTACTGTATCAAAATRTTTAGCTATGAAATAAATTGTTGATTTTKTGAAATTTAGGGAGCTAAAGCTTGGTATTTTCCAAGTACGGTGTGTGGAGTATTAGGCATYTTTGTTTCAAGCTTAGTTCTAATGTTGCCTGAAACAAAGGGAGCAGTATTACCAGATACTTTAGAAGATATGAAAACTACTAGATCTGCTAAAGTTACCAATTGTTGTAAGTTTTAGTACTTTTTACCATTCTGTTACATTCATTATACATTAYACTTTTGATAACGTTGACACATTGATTACAATTATTTAGACAATATAATAACTCATACTATTGTTTGTTTTAATGGAGAATCACAGTTAAATGGGATGAATATTGATAAGTCATAAATTATAATTATCAATTAAAATAAAAATAAAAATGTAATCATTTTTGTGTTAAATATTTCAATAAAATTTTTGAACAAATTTTGTAAATGATCTCCACAGATTATTTTTACCAAATTAAATTAGAGAAGTTTTTCTAATTAAAGYGTAGTTTAATTTTGTTACTCAATTTGAATCTTTTATTTATGTTATTGGTATAGTGAACATTTTTAAATTTCAAATGTGCTATTAAATTCACTTTCAATATTTATTTAGTAAAATTACATTATGGTGATCAATACGTCATGTACATTATAGTAATAAATT